ATCTCAAATACCTTGCAATTTGCAAGCCGTGAACCTTCCTAGATACACTCCCAAAAAAAAAAAAAGCCCTTTTATGCGGCCTTAAAATGATAAAAAAAAATGAGTAGGGCCCACAATGCACGGCTTAGCATACGAGGCCTATCAAGATTAGTTAGCCATGATGTTCATGGTCTAGGATGCCTCAACTTGCATAACCAATGCATAAGGCCAACACGACTATGAAGTCAATACATGAGGTTACATAATGCACATGCCTATGGTCTTAATATAACCATCATGTGCACTTTACAACATCATTGGCCAACCATAACTAAGCCTTCATAAGCAAGGCGGGAATGATAATGCGAGCACAATTGGGAATCGAGTTTCATGATGGCTCTGATACCAATGTTGGTAAAAATATGGTCCAGCGGTCGAAGCGAAAGCAAAATAATCAACTGGGAACCGAGTATCATACATGAGTGCTTGCACAACGAATGTGGAGATAAACGATCAACTCATGTGGGCAGGTTTGATAACTACTAGAGTTGTCGAAATCTGTTCCACACCGCATATCCCGAGTGAGTTGGAAGCTCATGAACACTCCCACAAAATGCAATAAGAGTTGTCCTAGCTCGACTCTCACGCACAACTCTATCTCTAAGGGCTGGTTCAATCCTTAGAACTCGAATGGGAGGGGGATTTTACTCACTCTCTCTCACACTTTCTCTCTCACAATAAGAGCTCTCACACCTTTATCGTGTGTGAGTTGTGGTGTGTATAGAGACCTCTACCCTTCCCCTTTTATAATAAGAGAAAGGGGCCATCTCATTCACGTGAGAGTAACCTCCTCATGAATGGGAACCCTTATGGTGCATGGTACATGCTATTCATGGGAGGGTAACCCCCTCATGAAGAGATGACAACTCTCCCTACATCCCTCCATGTAGTAACGTTAGTCAACATGAAGGGGTGTGGTCCACTTAGGTGTACCCTCACACTAAGGATGTGCTCTCATGTCTACAAAATCAAATATATCAACAATAATGAAGCTAATACAATTCCAAATCAAAATAATGTAAAAGTATGCAATTGTACCTATCACAAACGAACGACGGGCAGTTCCTTTTAGCATGCCCACTGCCATTGCAAACTGTGCATTTCCTTTTTTTTTTTTCCTTTGGCTTCCATCCCTCAGAACGAGCTTTAATTCTTTTAGTGGCTAGTCGTCCCTTTATCTGTACTCATGCATGTTCGAGGACATTGCATCAATGGTTACTTCCACTTGGTATGCCACTACAATTAATAACATTATCATCTTCATTGACATGACTCATGGTGTCATCCTGTGGACCTCTCTTGCACCCAAACTTTTCATCAAACTGACGAATTCCATTTTGTATAATGGACATTACAAACTCATGGCCCTCTACACTTTGTAAAGCATGCTCAACAAGGGATCGACTTGCCTGCATAGCCTCATTATATCTAATGGAGCGTGGTAGTTTAGATGTTACTTGAATTTGTTCTCCAATGTCATCAAGAAAAACTCCCTTCTTTACGTGTTTGGTCCAACGCCTCATTATATATTACAGAGGAATTTCAAACGCATCTTTCACCATAAAAATCTTCAGTATATGCTTGCAAAGAAGGCCCATCCTCTTAAACAGGTGACAACTGCAAGAAATAGAATTGACATGGTAAATGAATTTCACTAAGTAAGATCTAGGTGTGGTCCCCGGGACTAACACCTTAAAGGTAGCAACTTGTCCATTGTCTTCAATTGTCTCCCTCCTAAAATTAAAACAATTAGTCACCTCTTCCTCAAATATCTTTAAAATCTTTTGAGTTTAGATTTTTGATGCATGTGACTCAATGAAAGTGGTTATTCGCAAGACTAGAGTAGTTTGAATATCTTTCAAATCATTTTCCCTCTATTTTCACACATTCTTATCTTGAACTTTTGCAGTAACTTCTAATAATGTACGCGAGCTTGTTGCAGGTGTCAAGTACATCTTGAAGTGCGTATCCATCGCTTCACTCCTTTGATTAGAAGACACACATGCGTATTCATCCCTTCACTCCTTTAAGTAAAAGACATACCTACAGTGAACGTGTCAGCCAAGTATGCATCAACCCATTGTATACGACAACCATAAAGCCATTGAGCCATTCATTGTCTTCCAGCTTATAATTCTCAATCATTGATTTCCATCCAAATTATTCAATTGTTAGGCTAGCCACGCTCCTCCTAAGATATCTAAATAAGAATGATGCATGCGCAAGACATGACACATTTTTTCTTTGATCTTCGCAAATATGTGCCACTTACAATAATGATGCTTACTTTGGTAAATAACTTGTTTCATTGTAGAAAAAATTGCAGGATCTTGGTAAGTGAGAATAACATCTCGCTGCCGTCTACTCATGGCTTCCAACCATTTTTCAAATACCTATGTAAACAATTATATCTTCTCATCAAATATTAGTGTAAATCCAAAGAAAGTTGTATTGAAATGGTGATTTACCCCAAGTATAGGTGCAAAGGGAATACCAAATGTATTTGTCTTTTATATGGTATCAAAGGTAACCACATCAGATAAGCACTGGTAGGAAACTCTAGATGTAGAATCTACCCATAAGAAATCGAGAATGTGATCATCATCATCTAATCTCAATCTATAGAAAAATGATAGGTTTGATTTGTTCTTTTTATAGAGCTATTGCAAAATTAAATTGCCAATCTTTCCCTCTAAGTTTTCTTCTAATGCTTGCTATTTTATTTTGGATTTCCTTTTGTATACAATGGACATTGTCAATCCCTTTAGCCTGCTCTATGAATATATCATGAATATGTCTAGGCTTAACCATTGCCGAGCTCATTGAATGTATCAATGACTTCGTAGCACTCAACAATGATTAATGTGTGCGAATTAGATGAGATTTTCTTGGACTAACTAGATTGTGATTGTGATCTAGCACGACGCTAGTCACTTTCCACTCGTCGTCTTCTTTACTACTTATGCATATCTTAACCGCACACCCACACTTTAACTGAGGGAAAACTTTTCCACTTTTATTAGGTTTTTCTTATTTAAACTCTTCATTCGAGCAAACATAAACCCTATCTATCCGTTTACCTTTCTTGTTATGAGTATTCCCCTGCGAGTACCAAAACTTTTGTCCAATGCAAAAGACTTAAAGAACTCATATGCAACATCTTTTGATCCAAACATCATTCCTACACATGGTTCTTCTATTTCTTGGTCTTTGTTTGGTGAGCTATAATCACCATCAAGGATTTCATCCATGTTGTTTACATTTGGGCATGTGCTAGATCTTAGACCAACTGAATTAATGGGATCCATCTCATTTTTTTGTCTTACCCAACGTTAAATTGCAAACTACAAAAATATATGTATTCAAACCTTCATCTCAAGAAGTCTCATTAGTTGATCAATGGGGAGAGAGAGAGAGAAGTAAAAAAAATTTCATGCAAACACTTCCTTTGATAACATGAATTACCATGAAATCAGAAACACAACTTATTTCAATTTTAAAAATACCAATCATATTTTTTCTCAACCCAACTTGCTACATGCAAAAATTGCAACAGATAGATATTGCTCTATGAATTGTTCTAGAGATGTATTCTACACTATGATTTATTCCCACATAGAGGAAAACATCATCGGATTATGACTTCTCAGTTAATGAAGCTATTTTAGTATAACCTAAAAAAAAGAAGAAGACAAAAAAGTAGGTCAACAATAAAAAACCCACGAAAAATTGGGTTGGGTTGGGTTGTGTTGGTTTGGTTTGGTTAATTTCCAATTCAAAAGCCTACGAGAATGTGCATGCATTTTTACAAAATTTTTAAGATTTAAAGCCTAGTATTGCTAATATAGAAAATATTTTTACACATGGATGTATCTCATTGCAATGAAATAGAATAAGAAAAAAAAAATGAAATTAAAGATCATATTCAACTATTGTTGTAGCAAATGTAGAAAATTTCCAAATTTCTTAAGATTTAAAGCCTAATATTGCTAACATAGAAAATGTTTTACACATGGATGTATCTCATTCCATAGAATAAGAAAAAAAATGAAATTAAAGATCATATTGCAACTATTGTTGTAACAAATGCAAAAATTTTCCAAATTTCTTATGATTTAAAGCCTAACATTGATATTTTTACACATGGATGTATCTCATTGCAATGAAATAGAATAAGAAAAAAAAAAATGAAATTAAAGATCATATTGCAACTATTGTTGTAGCAAATGCAGAATTTTTCCAATTTCTTAAGATTTAAAGCCTAATATTGCTAATATAGAAAAAAAATTTACACATGGATGTATCTCATTGCAATGAAATAGAATAAGGAAAAAAAAATGAAATTAAAGATCATATTGCAACTATTGTTGTAGCAAATGCAAAAATTTTCCAAATTTCTTAAGATTTAAAGCCTAATATTGCTAATATAGAAACTATTTTTACACATGGATGTATCTTATTGCAATGAAATAGAATAAGAAAAAAAATAAATTAAAGATCATATTGCAAATATTGTTGCAGCAAGTGTAGAAAAAAATTAACCAAAATGCACATGGTTAATCAAAAGATTTCATTTTTACAATACCCCTTGACACAAATCGATTCTTTAAAATCCATTTTTTTCATTAATTTTCAACTTCATTTGAATATTTTTTGTGTTAATCATTTTTTATATGCTTTTCATATTTTTAGTTTTTTTGTATTTTTTTATTTTTTTCAACAATTTTTTGACCGCCTGAGACTTGCCCAGTTAAAACAGTTGAATTGATCAATTTACCAATTGAACCGGTTAAACTGCTTCCGACCCCGTTGTTGGTTAATCGTTCCGGTTGCTTGAGATAAATGGTGTGTCATTATATACAATCCCTCGAAGGACTGAATGTGATAATATGATACGTAGTATCGTGAGAACACTGAAGAAGTGATTTTAAAAGGTGGCGGGGAGTAATTTTGTTTAACATTGCTGGGAACGGACGTGTCCTATAAAGAGCCACTTTAGAAATATGAGCGAAAAACGAGGGGTATCTTAATATTCTGGTTCCATGGAACGACATCTGGCCTGCTCGCTCTCCCTCCTGTCCAATTGCCCCAATGAAGAAAAATCACATTCAAACACGCGCTCTCCGTCTCAGGTCCAAGAATTAGGGCAAAAGAATTTGGAGCTTTGAGAAAGAGAGAGCATAGTGTCAGATTAGGGCAGGAAGCCATGAATATCTTTAGATTTCTCGGGGATATGACCCATTTATTCAGCATTCTGGTCCTCCTCCTGAAGATCTATGCTACCCAATCGTGTTCAGGTAAACTCAATCATCTCTCTCTGTGGAATGTGCATTGACTATAGAGTGTTCCCGACTTTTTTGGTGGATTTTGTGTAATTGATGACATTTTATCTGTAGAAATATACTTCCTTTTCTCTTCCCACTTTTCAAGTGCTAATTGTCCTCGTGGAATTGTACTCATGGATTTTCTATTCGTTTTCATTTTTGTAGTTGACAATTTCCATTGAATGGAGATAGTCGCTTGTATATTTTATAACAAGTCATGGATTTTTCTTTCATTATGTATTTTTCTTCCTTGTTTAACCAAAATTTGAATAATTAAGATATGTACAATGACCATTCGTGGAGAAATTGCTGCCACTTTGTTTTTACAATTTTTTTCTTTTTTTACATGACTTATTACTACCATTTGTGATATGAAACCTCGACTTCTCTGGTGACTCTTTTTATTTATTATTATCGGCCGGGTAATTGTTCAAGTGGAGCTAAGGGGTAGGCCCAAAAGGACATGGTTGGAAGTAATAAGAAAAGATATAGACTTATGGCCCTCCATAGAGCAGAATGGCCGACTAGGATTCATATTGGGAAAAGTCTTTGATTATGATAATGATTATTAACTGAGTAATTGTATCTATGGCATTAGTTGGTTACTGATTAAACAAAGAACTCTTGTGTGGAATTAGGGATTTCATTGAAGACTCAAGAGCTCTATGCTATGGTGTTTGTTGCTCGTTACTTGGATCTTTTCACCGAGTATATATCCTTATACAACTCTCTTATGAAATTGGTTTTCATTGTGAGTTCCTTGGCGATTGTGTGGTGCATGCGTGCCCGCCCTTCTGTAAGGCACTCTTACGACAAGGATCTCGACACCTTTCGCCACTACATTCTGGTGGCATGCTCTTTTGCCCTAGCGCTCCTTGTTCATGAGAAGTTCACCATCAAAGAGGTAATTTTTTGAGACTGGTGTAATATGTTATCTTTTGGATGATCATTTAGTAATCACATTGGCTGTATTTCAGGATGGATCATATAAGGTTTTTCCTCTTATTTCTTTATTTTAAAACATATCCCCATGGCTTGTTTGTATGAGTTTCCTGATTTCCTATGAGATGAGCTCATTCTTTGAATATTTCATGCATGCATTCTGGTTGTTATCAACAATTTGGTACTCTGTTTTGGTTTTCCATTGATTTTATGGGAAATGCATCAATTGCTCTTTGTTCCAGAATATTTTTCTCTCATGTGAATTTCCAAACATGGATGTAATGTGAACATGAAGTTAATTTTCTTCGTATTATTCTATGCCAGATATGGATGATCACTTTTTTCCTTTCTCAGTGTTTGAAATTTATGTAATGCATTTTTTGGTAGAGGTCTGCCAAATTATAACGTTGAACCTGATACTATCGTTTTTCACATTTTTAGATTTCTACGTATCTCTTGTTGGAACCCCATTTACTCGAATATCTTTGTTCTTTTTGATGTTTCTATATCTATTCATAATTTGTATTAAGGTAAATCAGATTCATTGCCATCTTAAGATGTGTTTATGTCTGTTATCCAGTTCTTTTATTCCCTGGTTAACTAAGTAATGCTTGCTCACTGATATGAAGTATCTAAATAGCAAATAAAAAATGCTTGCCTACCAATAGAATGGGATATTCTTTTTCGTGTTTATATTTTAGTTAAATATTGGTCACTGAAGTCAACAAACTAGGGTCATATATTCCTATGTTCTTTCATTGCTTCTTTTTTCTTGTAGGTCTTGTGGGCATTCTCCATATACTTAGAGGCAGTGGCAATTCTTCCTCAGTTGGTTTTGGTACAGAGAAGTGGAAACGTGGACAACCTAACTGTGCAATATGTTTTCTTTCTTGGGTATGATATCTGATATCCAAATTAGATTTGAGGATGACTTCTTATATTCTCTATATTCAACTCTCAGCAAATTAGAATACATTAATTGCAAAGTGTCATGATTTAATGCTTTCTTCTCGCAAGACTTCTATTGAGAGTTTTTCCATCAGAGTTCCATATTTGGTTGTTTCCATTGTTTTGGCATTTTTGCTAAAACAGATCTACTACTAGCCGCTTTAATCATTGAGATATATGTTGCATGAAACTACACTTGTAATGGTTAAATATGACCTGTTTAGAAACCACATTTTCCTAACAGATTGTAGATTAAGACGCTGGAGAACCAGAAATATGCTTTCTATTCTTTGTCAATTTTCTCCTATATGTAATCAGATTCACAGGCATCATACTTACCATATTCCAGAGTAATTGGATACTTACTAGTCCGACACATTTTGGATTAAAGATGTGTAATAGAAGGGCCCATAAAGATGATTGTATCTTACATGAATTGAATATGTGACATTGTTTACTTCCCAATAGAGAAACCCCCTAAGTTGGATCCATTCGTGATGATTACCGCAAATACTCTACTTTTAATAGTGCATAAAACTTGCAAGGGCAATTATCATCATGTAAAAACCGTATCATACAGTTCATACTTAACGATTGATTAATAAACCACCCTTCCAATGCTGCAATCCTAGTTTCTTAACGTGGGCGTATACTTGGTTGATTCCAAGTTGGGCTAACATGCTGGCCTAAAGGACTGACTAGGCGAGTTGAGTGCCTTTTGATATCATCATCATCCAAGCCTAACCCAGCTATTTAGGGTTGGCTACACGAATCCTATTCTATGATCTACTCTATAGGGAATGCCCTAGCATGAGCGTATAATGTTGGATTAGGATTCATGATAGGGATCTGGCAGATGTTTTCCATTGGCTACCAACCTAACACAACCCTCCTCCTTTTTGATCACGGCTTGGGACAGGCAATTCTAGCTCCTTTTTATTGTATATAATTTGCAAAAGTGTTAGTTCTAGAAAATAATTAGAAAGAGGCAGCAGGTTTTTGCACCCACACTTTTGGTTACTGCACTCATCCTTGCAACTCAGAGCCATTTGCACAACTTATCTATTAGATGGACAGTGTGAAATACACAGATGGTTCCAATTACTAAAAGGGGAAGGTTTAAAAAATTAGCACCTTGAAAATAAATGCAAGAGAAAAGAACTTCTAAGAGAAAGAGGGGAAAAGTGGGATTTGGAACAGGAAAAAGGAGGGAAGTATAGTAACAGAGAAAAATAGAATAGTCATACCATATATTGTCTATTGTATATTGCATTATAAATTTGTTATATTGCTCATTCATTTTTATTGTATATTGCATTATAAATTTTTTATATTGCTCATTCATTTTCAAATTGATCTGTAGATCATGGATGGGAATTGTTCAACAGATCTTGCTTGATTGAATCAAATAAGTCCCTAGTTCAAATCACCCCGGATGACCATGATTTGGCTATAATTCAATTATAGCCCAAGCAAGCCATGTTTTCCTTGAAATCTGAACTGAGAGGTAACCTAGTGTAGTGAACTCGAAGGAGTCCCAGGTCAGCCTTTTGGGTCTTTGACTGGTGCTTTCAGCCGTAGTTCGCGTACAAACTCTCATGCTGAAATTGATTGGTTCGTGGTTATTTGATTAGGAGACCATTCAATTTAACCCTGTGATTTGTATTTTTTGAGGAACTCAACAATTGCCTCATTCCAATCCTAGATGAAAAAGGAGGAGAGTTGTGTTAGGTTGGTAGCCCGCGGAAGACTTTTGCCATCTCCCTATTATGAATCTTGATCCAATTGGTTTAACTGAGGGTATAACCATTTTCATTCTTTAAACCAGCATTCTTAAGACCAAATAGTCGGGCTGAAAAGGGGGAGAGTTCTCCGTTCTTGGTTCTCCTGTAGCTTGATACTCCGGAACCACAAGAATCCTTAGAATGGGATTCCAACTCAGCACCTTTTGATTGATTTTTGAAAGGAGTTGCTCCTTGGAGAAGTACAATGAAAGTTGTAAGCTGTGTTGGGGAGGGGGGGGGGTTATTGTTTATCATTGGCCTCTATGGTAGAATCAGTGGGGGAGGCTTGAGAGGCGTTGGTTTACCCCTTGGTAGATGTCAGCGGTTCAAGTTTGCTTATCTCCAACTCGTGATCTTAGCCGATATAAAGGTATATGATAGAGATGAATGGTGGAACATGATTTGTGTAGCCAGCCCTAAATAGTTGGGATAAGGCTTGGGTGATGATGATGATTTGCATTATTTATATTACAGGAAATGGTAAAATTACAAATCCCCAGAAAGAAGAATGAGTTTTTACTTGAATTAATATAAGGGATTACAAATATTACATATAATTAATTCATGTATACCTTAGTCCTAGATTTAGAATCATGGGAATTTATTACTTTTGAGATCCACAATGAAATTACAACCTCTTACTTGGGATGAGTTGCCGCTATTTGTAAAATATTGTTAAAGTCATAACAAAATAATAGAAATGCCTTCTCTTCATAGTGAAATCAAATGACAGCGAATTAGTCTTGTTTGAATTGTTTTAGCCTGGATGATTCGGACGAGCCCCTAGTTGACTTAGACTTGGGGAGGATAAGTGTCACTCAAAATGTGATATGAGAAGTGATCTTGTTGGGTTGACTCAGCAACTACCAAGATTTGAACAATGGTTTCAGCTGTTTCAAAATTGACGTCGTTATTTTTATCAAAGTTTTTTTGGTATGTTTGTCTTCTTTTGTTATCTCGTGAATGTGATAAGTCCATGACATAAGTGTGTTTTCCCACTTAGGTCACCAATGTTATGATCACATAGCATGTTTAGAAACTTCAAGGGTTGTATCATTTCCTGTGAGAATTATCCCCATGGGTGCAATCTTTCTTTTCTAACTCAAGTTCATCTTCTGGACCTAAATTAAACGTATTCCTTTGATATGCCTGATAGATGGTTTGATGGTTATTCATGTAATTATACATTTCTCTTGTATTTTCTGTGTAGTTTTGTATATTGATAAAGATATATGTGTCACTAGGACTATGTGAACTTTGTATATGAGGGATTCTTCTTCCTTTCATGGGCATTAAGACATAGTTCCATACATTTCAGGCTAGCTGGTCTCAAGATCCTAAATCAATCTATTTTTTGCTATGATTATCTGTGGAGCAACAAGAGCAGTTCATTCCTTTTAACACTTTTTCTTCTCTATGGTAGGGAAGAGGGTCTATTAGTTTCCACAAGGTTAATTGCGGTCATTCTTCTCTAAATGAGCAACCTTCAAATAACTGTAGAGTTGTTACATGCAGGGAATTGGGTTGTGTAAATTCTTCCTCTCCTTCTCTTTGAATATTACAGTTCTTCAATCATTTTGGATTGGAGAATCCATCAAAGCAACTTCTTCCAGCATCTGTTACTGTTAACTTGTCTATAGGACTGCCTATGTGTTACACGTGGATCGGAAGCCCCGAACCATGTAAGATTTTCCAAAAGTTTCACATGGAGTATTTTCACCTTTGACACGAGTAATATGGGGTTTCTTGCACAACGGTGATTCCAATCAAAGCCTTAACTCACGAACCTGGATTTATGTTTTGCAAAACCACACTAGTGGTGTATTTGAGCTTAGCAGAGCACAATCATTACGGGCTCATTGGTACTAATGGGAATTTCCCAGTCTGAGTGGTGTATTTGAGCTTAGCAGAGCACAATCATTACGGGCTCATTGGTACTAATGGGAATTTCCCAGTCTGAGTGGTAGCATTCAAGCTATTTGGTAGCTTCAAGGTGAGTGGTAGCATTCAAGCTATTTGTCGCGCATGTGAATAATTGTATTTGGAGATCAATATGCAATTGGATTCATTACTCGCTAATATTCTTCTAGACCTTTTTGGGGATAAATCTGCATTCTCATAGAGAGTTGTGCTGATTTTTGCGATGGTTAGTTAGACTGATCTTTTTGCATATTCTCTTCGTCCTATTGAGGTGAAAATGAGTGTATTCTGTATATAAAGTAGTAGTTTACTGTTCTTCTATGTTCTATCTGCTTTGCGCTTTGTAATGAACTCACGATAGATGTTGCGCAGCTGTGTATCGTACCATATGCTTGCATGGAGCAAATTGTAAAACTTGCTACTTCCGGCCAAAGACCCATATTGGAAAATTTTGTTGATTTGAAATTTTGGGATTCATTTAGAATCACCAGGTGAGTATTTTCAGAAAAAGAAAAAATGATTTTTGAGTTCCTAGTTACCTAATTGTACCCATCAAAAAATTGGATGGTTTCTATTCCATGCCAGGATGTGATTTTTTTCGAGCACTTCTAGAGTGTGAATTAAATTTGATTTAGGTTGATCGCCAGGTTGAGTGGGTTCCATCCCAAAAATTTGGGTGCTAATCTCCTAGCTAGGTTTTGCCCATGGGAGCAAATTACAATGTGCTTCTTTGGGAGGACAGAATTATTTCGCGTCAACTAGTGATAATCATTCTTTTCAAGTTGGTGAATGTACAAGAGCCCATCAGACGTGAAGTTTGACCCAGAAATGCGAAGGAGAAAAGCATTTGGGTAACCAAGAGTCTAGAGGTCAGAAGACTGGAATACTGTAAACTTGATTTAAGACAATTATAGATGTGTGGGGAAGCACCATAGCTAAAACCCAGAAAGAATAAAAGCACAACCTTCTTCATAACATTCTCATAACTGGCTCGGCTGACTAGAGAGAAAGCCACCACAGACACATCTGCTACTCTGTAGCTCAATGGCCTTAGCCTATTGTAATCTTCTTGCCCTGCCAAAAGAAAGAGAGCACTTAGAAATCTGATAAATTGGGCGAAATTGCACGAGAAAGAAAGTGACAAATCAGTGAAGCATCTAGTTAGGAACAATTGATTGGGGAATAAAACCAAGCTAAAAATATTATGGGTATATTCTCAAGCTGGCATAGGTATTAATGAGT